GTAAAAACATGACAGATAATCTGTGAAACAGATCATGTTCTAGCTGCTGTTTATCTGTTAGTTTCTATGTTTGCTGTGAGCTGTTGTCCTGTTTGGTCTGTTTCTGCTCCTCCATGTTGTCACAGATACTACCAGTGGACGGGATGGGTAGTGTTCTTATTCAAGTCTATGTTTGCTTATAGTAATGGTGTTTTCCATCTGGCTACCTGTTGGCTGCTAAAACTTTAGATTTTGTTAATAAATAGTTTTAAAGAACTTAAGTCAGTCAGTGAAACTTTCCTGTGGCTGTCAGTAATTATATGTGTTTTAGCCACTAAGGAGAGGTGTGTGATTTAATAAGAGAGGATGATAAATCACTCAACAGACCTCTAAAAAATGTGCCCCCTCTCTTCTGAGATGAGGTTACACCCTTGAGTGAAGGCACCAGCAAAATATCTGGTTTTCTCCTGTTTTTGTTAAACTGTCTGTTGGAGCTCTTGTGCTGCACAGAGAGGCTGCCTGTCACTGTGAACATGAGTGAGATCTTCTCCTCATTGGTCAGTCCACATGAGGTGGGTCAGGTGACTGAGAGGGTTGCATAATATCAAGCGTCGCTTTTGTGTAAATGGAGGACACTTCCCTCSATCTCAATGTAGTGGTTCATGTTTACCAGGTTATACTGATGTGTTGTGTTTTCATAGCATCATGTGAAGGAGTGTCCTTGACAAGAGGACATAGTAGTGTATTTGTAGTTCAATGAGCATTTGTACATCAAAATACACTTAGAATTTGAAGCATTGAGTATATTTACTATAAATTGCAATAATTTACTCTGTATTTTTTTATAGTAATCCTGGGGTCGTGATGATGGGGCCCTTGAATATTGTTGCCCAGGGTACAGGGACGTGTTAATTCGGCCCTGGTCCCCAGATGATTTCCAGACATAAATTTCCATGCAAATAAATTGCTAATGGAATATATTTTCACCCCAATTATTGTAAAGTATTTTATTTGCAACAATCATAAATGAATAAATGTAGTATCATAGTTATTAAGTTTGTTTCTACCCATATTATCAAAGTTATATAAACAAGTAATATATGGGGTCACAAGTTTCTGCAATTGTAATTTTTTGGGCTGAAAGCTTAAAAATTTGAAAACCACTGCTCTAGCAGACAGCTAGATTCATGCAAATATACATTGACTTTGTTAATGAACTCACCTGCACTCAGTGTGCGTTTTGAGCGACTTTAATTAAGAATAATTTTATTTAACATATTATCAAACTAAATGTAAAGATAGCTGGATGAAGTGAACCTTTATATGCACATTTGAAGGAGAGAAAACACAACAAAACATGTTTCACTGACTTTATTGTAAAATGTAAAGCCGTGTTTTGACTCGGTACTATTTCTGGTCACGTCATAGTGTGCACCACTGAAAACCGTCCGGAACCGGAAGTTGTACTCGGCGATCTTGGACTAAAAAACAATGGCGAGCAGTATCGGCAGTGAGTTATGTTTTTAAAATTTCAACCTTATTGATGATAACATATATATACCAGGCGTAAAATCAAACAAAACGGACTTTTCGTTTTAACTAGTCTACGAAGACAAAGCAGTATTACTGCCAAACATTGTTTTAGAACCTGAATATCTGTGTCTCATGAATGTGTTCCCCCATCGACACCGCTAAGCTAACATTCTTTGTTTTTAGTGCTTAAAACTGTTTTGTGTGGTTTCTGAATTATTGTTATATGTGACTTATAATTTTATGTGTTGTTAAATCGTGTTTAACATACTTTGCTGAAAGTCGAAAGCTATTTTTGTCTCCCAGTAAACGTTTTTTGACCAAAAGCTAGCACCGACGTTAGCTAACAACAGTGGAAAGGTAGCTGGTCTGCTATACGTACCCAAACCACTTCATAAAATCTTTTGACTGCTTTTATACATTATTCTGTAATTAACGCTTCTTTGTAATGATATTCGACTATAATCGACGATGATAATGGCTTTAAAAACATTTTACATGATGTGGCGCTTAAACAACATACTAGAGCCTAAAATTATTATACCATTCATTGTGCATAAGTTACATAAACATGGTTTAAATTTTTATACAAATAACCATTATTACTTATGATAATAAATATTACCTATATAGATAGGGGATGTGGATATTTTTTTTAATCCTACGCCAATATTAAATCTGACAACAGATTCCTAAAGAACTTTACAAACTATACAAAATAACAAAGTTGTAAAGTAACTAAGTACAAATACTTTGTTACTCTACTTAAGTAGAAATTTTGGTTATCTGTACTTGACTTGAGTAATTATTTTTCAGTGTACTTAGTTTTACTCATTACATTTTTTACACAATTATCTGTACTTTCTACTCACTACATTTTTTAAAAAGGTAAGAAGTAGAAAGTCGTTACTCCTATTTTATTCCGAGTTGTTATTACTTAAAAAAACTATCCTGATAAATTGTGTCTCCTGCATAGAGTGAATTTAATTGTGGTTGGATGAGAAGTATAAATATATACCATTCTGACACCGTATTAACT